CAGAAGCAAAAGCCTCGAGACAGCCAACCTACATTCTGAAATGTCTGGTGAATCTAATGAATGACTTCTTGGTACTGGAGAAAAGAAAGTAGAAATCTAATTTATTCTTTTGGATTTTTTGACAGCATTCACCATTTCTGGCCAGGAGACCAGTATTTGAGAGATAAGACCAAAAGTCCAAGTGAATTATTAAAATTATTGAAGACCTTGGAGGAAGGCATCAGCATAATAGCAATTGGTAAAATGAACCACTTCCTTTATAAGGTTATTAGAAAAAAACTTTTTTTTCTTAATCTTTCTTCAACACCAGCGTGCAGATATCAGTGAGAATGAATGAAATACATTTGAAATACAGCGCTGTCGCCAAATATTGGTACACATCTCTGTTGCAAAAATGACTCTGTGTTGGATGAAGACAATCATAAGCAGCAAGGGCACTGGTTGCAAGAGAAAAAAAGAATCAAAATTTTGCAACAGCAATATAATCTCCTTTGATGAAGGCTTCAGATGCCAGTTGATCAGTTCAGGTCATATTTAGCAATACTTAGGGTTCTCTGTAAGACCATTCTAATATTGTTGCCTGTCTTTTCTACTTAACTAGAAGATTGTTTGTTCTGGTGACAATGACTTGGCACCAGTTATTAATGCCTACATCACATCTTGGCTGGACTAGAGGAATAATCGGACATAAATCTTCTAGCACTTAGAACAAAACCAATTAATATAAAATGCTGCAGGCATCTCCTCAACAATGCAGACTATGTTGGTGGTGTAACAAGCACGACAAATCCATTGTGTATGTTGACTTCGTAGAGAAATAAAAATCAAATTCACACAAGGCCTGAGTCTAGAACACTCAAAAATGACTAACTGTCCAGAGTGAAGACTGAAGTCTACCCTTATCGACCTCTGATACACTGCAGCTTTTGACAAGAAAGTTGAAGACTGTCTGTTCCTTACTTCAACGGCAAGTCTCTCCCTTTAAAACCCTTACACCATACGAACAAAACAGGATACTGACTGCACACATTTGGCTCCCTAAAGAAAAGGTGAAAGTAAATTCATGAACAATGCTTATGCTCTCCTGTATTGCTCAGTGGAGGTCTCAGATTTTGTGCTGACAAGCACAGTATGGAACCTATAAAGAGCAGTCAGTAAATGTAAGATCAGTCAGTAATGTAGGATGAGATTCCTAGCTATGTGAATTATTGCCTATGGCCATTTAAACTTTTCAGTAACTGTGGAATCCAGAAGCAGCCAACACTGGAGATGTGTTTTCGCTTGGACCTTGGGTTGCTGAGCACCATGATTCAGTATCAGGATCTCTGTAGGGTTCTGGAGACTTGGGGGAGAGATGGTAAAAGTACCTTTCATGTACAGGCTAATTTGAAAAATGATTGTAGGCTTGGCATTTGGCATCTTCTGTACCTGTTCTCTGCAGTTTTGCTCAGTCCAATTTTGCCACTGTCCTTTCAGCAGGAACTACCTTAGCACGGCATGCTGTCTTCCAACTGGAGCCTAGGGGGAATCATAATGCAAATCTGATATGTAAAACTGGAGAATAGTGAGAAATACAGTATCACCTGCAAGGAGGGAAAAGAACATCCCACAATTACTGCACATAATTACTCTGGCAGTTTTCTCCTCACCTCCCCATACCTAGCGCATATAAATTTGGGCCTAAGGACAGTGAAAAGACAAAAGCAAGTAGTTCTTTCATGGTAAAGCGAAACCTGCTCAGTTATAAACATATTGGACCCAAAAAATATTCATGGTTTTATTTTTTATATATTTTCTTCAATTTATTAATAATCTTTTATATATATTTATTTATGGCTTTGAGCAAAGACAAAAGAAAAAATCTAACTCATCCCTGATCATACAGTTATTGTAAGAATCAGATCTATAGTCTTCCCAGCAGCAGTAAGATCCAACCTTTTTCATTAATACATTTCATCCTGTACAGATGTGAGATTCCATACTTATGGGCTTACTTATGTACAGAGAAAATAATTCAATTCTGAAACTAGCAATGGACCTTTATATTACAGGAATGTCAATCGTTTGTTTCTTAATCTAAGTATATATACATTCATACATACATATATATATATATACGTATATAATTTTATACCCTGTACCATTTTTGTTGAATTAACATACAAATCCTAGATATTGTCCACTCTATTACAAAGTCATTAAAAATTATTTATGGTTTCACTGAAAGACCATGTGAGTTAATATTTCTTTATAGTGCTTAAAATAAAATAAAAATATATATAAAAATATTTCGCTACTAACCCCATTATTCCTATCAAATGTAAACCTTAAACAGTTTGCAAGATCAGAATATGATCTTAATTAACTGACAGAATTTGTTAGTACTAAAACAAAATGAGGGATATTGTACTGATAAATAAATGGTCTTGCAGCGTATCCATAATGTCCTAAACATTTTTAAACAATTGCTTCCTCATATACTACTCTGGGCCACTCGGATTAATGGCAGCAGCATATCAATGGGTTAATTTTACATTGATTTGTACTGGTGAGTGGGAGTCAGCAAAAACTGGTGAAACATTTTGTAAAATTTTTATTTGATGTACCACTTTAGTAAAAGGTGTAACAGGCAGCATGGGTTCAAGCTCTGTTAGCTCTGAATATTTACTTGGCTCTCAAGTACATCTGGATTCACTGCATTACGTAGTTTGTGATGTTATTTAATTTTTTCATGCATCATTAAGCTCAGCATTAATAGGAAAAGAAGAACTCTTTTGCATTTATTTCCCTAACATGAGTCAGTTGGGTTTTAAAGAACAGAATATGTGCTTGCATCGTAGCCATAATGCTGATTTTTCAGTGAGTTAAATTATGACACACTTAGTTTCAATTTCTATTCAGTGTGACAAATCAGGCACAAATGATTATGAAAAGACTTGTTTTGTGGATAAGATAATGCAAAGATTTGAGCAAACAAAATAAACAGTTCACAAAACGGTATGCTTTAACCCTGCTTTCTGTCACCATTTCCTTTCTGTTTTGAAGACATAAAAAATAATAAATCTCATATCTATGGGCTATGTTTGACACTACATGCCTTAGGATATACTATCCATTTAATTACAATATACACAGAGCAAATCGTGCATTTCCAGACAGACTTTGATGCTATATTATATTTATTTTTTTTAAATTAACACCACAGTCAACTACAAAACTACAGTGAAGACACAGAAAGCACCTGAAAGCCTAAATCAAGCTGTGGTTTACAAATAATCCTTTAAATGAAAAACCTCACTTCTAGACTTAAACCAGAGATTCAAAGTCAGCATTATAGGAATTTTAAAGTAGACACAATTAATGAATGTTCATTATTTTCTAAGATACCATAAAGCCTTTTCCTACAATGGCTGACTGAACCTATTTTTATAGTCTTTTTTTTTTTTTCAAAGCATGCATGGAATATTTTCAGATGCTATTTAGGGCAAGGAGGAGAAAAGTGATGGTACTGGTGAAGTACAAGCGGTTTGCAGGATCAAGCGTACAATTTTGCATAAAACGTTGCATGTAAAAGTAACATTGTAGGTTTTAAGCCATTGCATTACAATTTAACAGTTGTGTTGCACTTAGCTTCAACAAATTTTAAAACTGTAAATTGTGAAGTGAAGAGCTGAACCTAAATTCCTAAACAAAGACTTTGTAATGGTACACCACACAGCAGCTATTTTTGTTTGGGTCTAAAAAGTTATTTACAGTGGCAATTATTTATAGTCTTTGTAAAAGTCTTTAGCAATGTGAAGATTGAAGTCCACCCAGTTTTCTGAAACAACAGAACGGTTTACATGTTTTCCGATTACAGTCTATCCAGAGGAGTGCTCATGCCAGCCTTTTGACTGCAGATGTCTGCAATATATATTTTTCAATCTAATCCTGAATGGAAATCACTAAAATATGAAATGCAATGGGAAATAACTGAATCCTTCACAAGAAAGTATTAACAATGTGTACGAATAAACGAAAGAATGAAGGTTTCAGAGTATTACTCAGTTAGCGCTATGTTTTAGTTAGATCTTTTTTTGTTTTTTGTACTTGTTTGAAGTTTGTTACTGTGTTGACAATTTCCCCATGAAAACAGGAAACCTTTCCATAAATAGAGAAATCTGTTAGACTGATTTAAAGTTGACACATTAAAAACAAATAATATTACAGCAGAATTTAGACTCCTTTAATGGTTATGAGAAAGGAAGACATGAATTCAAATAGGTTTTCTTAACTCCTATTTTTGGATATACATATATATTTTATATATATATATATGTGTATATATATACACATATATATGTGTGTGTGTGTGCATGTGTGTATGTGTGTGCATGTTTATGTGCACATATAAATATACACACACCTGTCCCGGGCAAGGTGCCAAGCAGCCTGCCCAGTAGAACCACAAAGCAAAGCTCTTCACAAAGATACACACAGCAGCTACAGTCAGATCCAAGGTACTAATTTGCATCATTGCCATGAATTGCTCTAAGCCCTTCTTACATGGACCACCGGCGATAAATCAAATTGTCATCAGAAAAAAGTAAAAATTGCCAACAATTATCCAAGTGTTATATACTGCAAAACTTCCCCCTACTTAAAACTGGGAACAAAAGTTCCCATGCTGATACAAGAGGAATGATTTTTTTTTTAATGGTAACCTACGAATACTGTGGGCTCTTTTCAGCATTTGAAGGCAGAGAGAGAAGCATTCACATTCTCTCAACAATTCACTCAACTTTTCCAGCACCCCACGTGAAACACCGTGCTTAGTGCAGTAGGGTTTCAAATTCGTTACTAGGACTTTGAGGCACCACAATAACAATTAAAACGTTACCAGATGTGCCATATAATAATTTTAAAAAAATGGCATACTGTATGCAGATAGAATAACAATTTGCTGTTCAAATTAATTCAGGAACCAGTACCATCCCTATAAACCCAATATATAAAACATGCTACTGTAGGCATGCATAAGTTGCATGCAATTTTTTCCAGATCAGCTGCTGCAAGCTCACCGGGGCGATAGTCTGCACCATCTCTCGGTCGTGCTTCACTATCTGCTTCAAGATCTCGTTCTCCTGATTGTTGAAAACGCCGGTATTGAGATCTTTCTGGAACTTCTGCAGCAGGATTGAATTCTTCTTCCCTTTACAAAGAAGCAGAGTTAGCAAGCCTGAAGCACAGGGGCGGATTCTCACACTTATTTTGCATTTTCACTCCTATTACTGAGGGGTATGTCAGCAGCTTAAAAGCCTGGGAAAACACCAAGCCGAGCCCTGGGCACAGAGCATAACCCAGGATGGCAATGAGCTTGCTCGGGCAGGCTGTGTGACACCGATCTTCCCAGGTGTCCGGCATCAAAGAACCGGTCCCTCACTGCCGAGCCTCGCCAGGGGAGCGCACGCTGCAAACGCAGCTCTCACCCGCTGGCCTTCAAGCACAGCTCATTCCTGTTCTCTCTGCACCAGCGTGCATTAATAGCACCATTATGTTCAAAGATACCTGAACTTTCTGTGACTCTTCACTTATAGTGCACACTGTTACTACAATTATTCTGAAAATGTAACCATGGTAATTTACTGAACAACAGGGTGGAAAAAGCGACCAGGCTCTGCATGTGTAACATCTTTCTCTTCCATTACAAAACCATCCTAATTCCCTGCACACTAAGCTGTTACATAAGTTATAAATACAGCTGCCATTTAGGACATTCCCTGGAACTAATTATTAGACATTAGTAACTAATGACCACTAGCTTGCAAGAAATCACCTTTTTAAATGCTGGCAAACTAATCTGAATTCACTGCTAATGTGACACCTGGCTGCACAATAAAGATTGCTGTAAGCTCTGTCCTGATGTTTTCTCTAAGGATGGTGTTTGCTTGATGACTCTCAGTATCTGCAAGAGGCAGATACTTTTCTGTGTCATCAAACACACAGGAATACAATTCCACTGAATTGGGGTTTTTTTTAGATAAGACAGTTTACATTTTATTTTTTTGTCCTGTCTAGATTTCTTATTGTAACCACAGCACTTCAGATTGGATTACTGCTCCAAGAGCAGACTGGACTTTACTACTAATATTTTTTAAATATGTATTTCTTAGGATTGGTCTACCTTTCCAGAGAGTTTCGAGAGACACATTATAAGAGTTTGAATAGTCTTGATTAGAAAACTTAATGCACCGAGTGTTCATGATCTGCAAAATACTGCCCTAAATCTATTAAATATTAGAAACTGTATATACACATTTGATTTCTTTATTCTTTCTATGTTAAATAAAACACCAATATTTCTTCTACTAAACCTACTTTTTCTGCTTAGCAGCAACAGCACAATAGCAGTGTCATGCAATTCTTTACTGCAAACATTTGTATTGAAAAGAGAGTGATGTGGGAAGTTTTCCAGTTAAAGTGTTCAAAAATCAGACATGTTATATAATTATTAGTCCTCACATGTCTATAAAGTTGACCAACTCATAGTATTGCTGATATACAACCTTTTACATATAGAATTCTTCTCACCTTCCCCTCTCTTTTCAATGAAAATTTACATTAGAAAAACTCAAGTTAGTAGTGAGAATCACAACACACTCCATTAGCAGTGTAGACAAAATCTGCCATGATTTTATTCTTTTGGCTGCTACACTAATGTACCTATGTTTGTATGTATGCATGCGTGTGAGGAGGTGTTGCTCAGGCTATAGTGTTGCATTGCTCTGCAATGGGGAACTGCTGTTAAAATTTCATACTGGAATTTACTTGTGAAGTTGAGGAATCAGCATCATGCAGGATGAACGATTTTTTCTGCAAAGGTGCATTTAAAAACCAGAATCAATAATTATGACCAGTGTGCACTTCTGCCTACCAAAGCCCATGTGTTTTATCTAGTATGTCCTGTTAGAGAGATCCAGAATGTCTGTTTGCACAAAAGCAGACTTTACACACCCTGTTTTGATAATCCACTATATCATTCTGTGGTTCACCTGGATATCTTTGGCCTGCTTTTTTGATTGCAAGCAGATCTGAGTAGCTCCAGTGTGCAGTCATCAATGCTAACAGTGCCCGTGTTGTGAGGAAAATGAGAGCTCTGCTGCAAAAGATTAATTCACTTCAACAAACACGGGTTTTGTGAGTGCTGAGAAACGTCACCTCTTCCCAGCGTTACAGACATCATCTGTAAACTATTTATGTAGGAAAAAGTCATCTGCTTCTCACTCAAACTGCATAAACCCAATGAAGTATGAAGTAGCAAAATAAATAAACAGTATTAATAAACAGTATCAATTGTTATTAAAGTATACAAAATAAACCTCTGAGGACTATGACAGTATAAAATAATAAACGTCTGAGAAGTATGAGAGCTTTCTAAGATTCAAAGTTTTATATTATTTAAAAGTGATCTTGCAGAATTTCTTCTTTGGATATGTCTTATTCATAGATCAACAGAATTTTTACTTTAGTGTAACAGAACTGAAATTTTAAAGAAGGGTTTAATCCAAGCATTATCTTTCAACTCAAGGAAAAGAGAAGGTAAAAAGGTTTTAAGAATTCCAGTTACAGAAAAAAAATAATACCTATCCTGTCCAGTCTATCAATTGCTACTGTTTCAAAGGCCCTTCTCATCATGGGGTACTCTTCCAAAACCTCATTGAAGTTGTCCACCGAGAGGGAGTACAGGCGACAGTATGTGTCAGCTCGTACACTGGCAGTTCGACGGCCCTTGGTCAAAAGGCAAATCTCTGGGGAGATAAAAATTCAACACATTCAGGAAACAAAGAGGTTAGTGAACCATGTGAAACTTAACAGCTAGGAAGAGATTCAGTGCTAACAAATAATAATGCAGTACTCCGTGACAATTTTTCTACTACTGTTTAGGTAATGTTGCAGCGGCAGTTCTGAAAGGTGTTTGATTCTAGTTTTGCTACTCTGAAAAAATAATGAATCTACTTTAAGATATCGGCTTATCGTTTTTCTCAGTCTAGACTATGATTTTATCAAACTTTTTAAAAATAATTTTTCTTTGAGTTGTAAGAAATAATCTATCAGCTGTCAAACATGGTTTGCTGACCCAATTAACCCAAGTGATTCTCTTGATTTTGTTGGAAATAGTCAGCTGACATAAAAGACCAATTCCTTTAATCATTCACCAGCGTTACTAAACTTATCTAACATATCATATAATGATGTTTGAATATAAGAACTATTCTGAGAAAAAATATATTCAGCATGGAAGTGCCTTCACTCGTTGGTTTTTATGCCGTAGGTATTTTGGGAGAGTAAGCTTATCATTTTAGACTTTTTTTCTCATTTGACCAGTCTAGTAGACTTTCCCTGCAAATGCTTCCAACTGGAATTCATCATTCTGGAACAGAGGTTACCATGGCCATACACAAAGTCCCCCAAAACCTGCCCCAATCTTGCAATTGTTGATTCTTGAACCCACACGAAGACTCACTGGATAAAGTCCAAAGTCAGCATCATAGGATTACAACAAAACATTTAGGGTGGAATTAAGAGAGATGCATGAATTCCTCTTAGGGAAGTTTTCCAGTTAAAGTGTTCAAAAATCAGACATGTTATATAATTATTAGTCCTCACATGTCTATAAAGTTGACCAACTCACAGTATTGCTGATATGCAACCTTTTACATATAGAATTCTTCTCACCTTCCCCTCTCTTTTCAATGAAAATTTACATTAGAAAAGTTCAGTGAAGTTTAGTATTGCCTAAAATAACAATCATGTTCAAAACAATGCTATTTAAGGTAAAGTCAGAAGTATATTTCATCAGATATTCCAGTTAGCTAAAAGTGAAGCCGTTTGCAGGAAACTCCGCAATTAAAAACAATTCGGAAACTTCGTTCAAATTGTCTATTTATGCTTACTCCCTAAAAAGTAAAATAAAATGTTTTCTTTTGGATCGCAATGGGTATTTTATTTAAATATTTAAGTTATTTTATATTAAAGAACAAAACAAAATTAAAAAGTCATTTGCAAAAGGAAATGTTTGAGTCAATCCCGTTTTCAGGTTTCGGACTGAGAAAACGCGAGATGCATCAGGAATTCTAGGCTTCAGACAGGGTGGGAAATAGTTTCTCTACGCAGTTCTAGTGGTTAAGAGCCATGACTTCATGTTTGGTCACAGCTGTTTAAGTACTAGGATACTAGGAGTGTGCTAGGAGACTGTTTCCTGCTTATATATCTATCAGAAACTGTAATTTTCCAGAAAGTGTGGAAATACAAATACTCTTAATTAGCAAAATAAGGAATTCTGCAGGCTTTTGTTCAAATGTAAAGTGTTATTTCATTCTTTCTTTGAATGTTCTTAATAAAATACATTTTTATTAATCCAGACTCTAAAGAACCCTCATGGTTTTTGGTCTCATACTTCTTGTTGAAGAATTTCCTCTAGAAAGTATCTTTGTCAAAACTGTGCAGATTTTGCATACCAAAGTTGCAGTTCCAAAATCCTCTGAAATCTAAAAAAACATTCTAATTAGCTTCTATGAGCTTTGAAGAAAGCTATATGGAACATGCACACGCATTCTATGTATAATCTAACACGCATTCATCTCCCCAAGAAGTGTGGGTTCTTCCAGCTGCGATGAGAAAAGAGTATATTTCATCCTACCTTGTATACTAGAGTGGAGGTTTGATACTTTCCTGCCCACAAGCTACTCAGCTCTGAAGGCTTGGGGGATAGGATGCTTAAATAATAGTGGATAAATCAAAGTACATTAATGGGGGACTGGTACTATCATTCAATATACTTAGAAACTCCTATAGCTTTGGGAAGAAGTTATAAAGACTAATGGCTACTATTAGAGTCTTGACCCCACAAAACCTGATTCCCGTGAAACAGCTACAGACAGTTTACTGTAAAGAACCAGCCAGGTCAAACAGAAGTCAGTACTTTCCTCTTCCCTTCCCTAAATCAGACTGATTTAGCTCCTTTGATTGCAAGCACCGTATTCTAGTTACAGGAGGGAAAAGGACCATTTTGCCCAAAAGAAGCATTTAAAAGCAGCAAATGTCTGCTCCATTTCCTAAGATATTCTTTAGATCTCACGCAGAATAAAGTTTTACAATTCATGGTTGAATTTATGGATAACTAGCTGGAAAATCTGTGTGACTAATAATGACCTCTTGATTTTCAGCTTTATTCATTTAAAATAGCTGCAGGCAATACTAAAGACATATGGAGGTGTCTTTTGCTGTACTCAGCAAATAAAATTCCTTGAGTTTAAAATAGATTGCATGCAAAAAATAAAGCAAATGCTGTCCGTGGATCCCAAGCATTTTGTGGAGTGTAAAAAGTAACGCAGAAACTACTGGTTTCATCATTGTTGTTCAAGGATCACTGTATTTTAGATGACTTCAGGAATAACAAGACTGGAAGGAAACCATAGGAAACAGTTCTGGATTTGAACATGGGACAGTGAAATCTGTGGATGCTATTGCAATAAATATCATTATTTTGTTCCTCTTTCGTTATTCTTTTCAAGTAATCAGACTTGAAAGAATCACTGTCCTGAGAATCCTATGTCAACCCACAACTTATGGTTGGAGAATATCTTTTAGGAAGGCTTCTAATACCTATTTTAAAGTCTTTTAGTTAGATACAATAATAACAAATAATACAGTGGGTCAGAATAGGTAAGCGAATTATATTGGGATATGAAAACTATCCAGAACAGTCTGATCAGAGAGCGCCACTGTGGAGCCTGCCCATTCATGAAGGAGGGAGAGCTTCAGGTTTTCCGCTGTAGTTGAATAATATCTATCAATAGATGAACTACTTCCTTCCAACAGAAGAAGCATCATGAGATGAAAATCCATGAAATGCTTTTCTGGCAATGTTTCTTGACAGATTTGAGTTTTATTGTAGTCTCTGATACATCATCTATATTGCATTGATATATATATCAATGATATAATTTGCACTGTGTGCTTGTTTAGCATTGTTTAGTGCTAATGAGCTTGTTAATTGTTTGTGTTCGGCGTTTGAGTTCATTTAATCTTATTAGCTATTTGCTTGGGAGAAACTCTCAAGCATAATAAAACAGATAATATATAAAATCTCATTTACTTGAACTGGAGAGCAAGAACACAAAATGCCAAAATGTTTGTTCCTATCGAACACTTGTGTTCTTTTAAGTAAATCAAAATAATTTTAAAAAAAAGGCTTTTTGAAGAGACTAGAGTAATGAAAATATCCATGATGGCATCAAGTACACCAGGCGCCCTCAACAGTTATGCTCTCAATGTTCAATTGATTTAAATGGACTAGGAAAGACAAACAATGGCACAGGAGTGTGCAGTGAAACACAAAGGGCATGGACTATTTTCAAACAGCTTGGACAAACAAGGCTCTTTATTAGCATAAAAAGAAAGTGGCTGTAGCATATTACTCACTAATATTCCCATCTGTGGTTGGCATGGTGCATTGCCTTCAAGCTGACATGAAGTGTCAAACACTTTTCTCTTTCCTTTCCAAAAGTAAAAATGTCTTCAATTGCAATTAGTAATTACGTGCGAGTCTGCAATGAACCTGTAATTCAACTCCTATACATGTTTTTCTTTAATTACATAATCTCTTTGGACAACTGTTCCCTGGAACGTTCTAAAATGAATGTCAATCTCTGTGTTATCGGAAATGGCTATTTGAAAGCAGTAAACAATGCTAAAAATATTCATTTGTTCCTACAGTCCATATTTTATACAAATGCAATTAATTTATATGTAAAAATCACAATTTGTGTTCTGCTAGCATCAGACCTTTTCTGTATAACAATGTAGCTCTCAAAGAATAAGGAAAATGGCTCAATTTCCAAGTACGTTCTGCTGTCAAGACACTGAAGTAACAACTGCAATGATGAAGTTTGAAGTTAAGCCTGTTTGGAAGGTTATTAGCCTAATAATCAAAACTGATCAATAACATACCAGTTGCACACATATGTGGCAGTATTTCCACAGGAACATTAGGTTCAGGTTTTGGAACGGAATGAATTTCCAGAGATGACTGTTCATACCTCTATCATGTAAAATGGGGCCCCTATAGATTGCATTTTATTACTGCATTAGGGTGATAGAATACTCCGGACAGGAAGTTCTACATGCCTGAAAGACAGACCTGAGGAAGACTGATTTGGGAGAACTGCATGAGGATGAATGACATAACCCATATGATAACTTTTGAGGAATTAGCATTAGTTGGCCCTTTGTAAGGGCAAGAGTTTTGGTACCAAGATGAATTTCGCAGTTCTTAAATGTATCAATATGCCACTGTAAGTTTTCCCCCTGTTGCTGTGTGATCCCCAAACATTTTTGATTTGGAGAAAACAACTGAGCGTGTAGGAGCAGCTCAACTCTGGCACCATTTGCGATATTGCATCAGTTTATCAGTCTTTGCTGGATGTCTACCTGGACTGGCTGCCCTAGCAACAATTTCCTGTTTCCAGTTTATAAAGATCTATGAAAAAATTTTTTTCCTCTGGGAAGCAGTACAGCTTAGCTGTCAATGTGACTTCTATCCATTAACTCTCAGTTCATTTCCTATATAAATTACACTCCAAATGTAATTATTCAACTTTCTGTGTCACATTCGTGTTTGATTAGAGATTGAAAATAAACTCCAAAAAAACCCAAAATAACAATAAACATTTGCCTTGCAGACAAAATGTGTCCACAAACAGATAAATTGTGCTGATTTAGGAAACAGTTAGAGTCAAGTAGTTAG